GGGTTGGTGCGGCGCGGGGCCCCCTGCGATAGCCGCAGCAGGGGGTGCGCCAGTGCTGCGCCTGGACTGGGGGGGGGGGGGGGGGGGGGATCCTCTTTTAGGAGAGAAGAAAACCGAAAAGTTTTTTTGATTCCCTTGTTTTTAATGGGTTGAATGGTTTATAAAAGGTAATTCATTAAAAGTATGATGACTAGGTGGACAATTTAATGATCATTCTAAAGTATTTATTTTTTCTACATCTAAGTTATTTCAAGAAATAAATTTTTCTTCTGAATAGAAAGCATCAAAAATTACATAAATGAATCATACTACTCCTATTATAGAAATAATAGAGCCTAAAGAGCTGATAGCATTTCAAGTAAATAAGCTATCTGGAAAGTCTGCATATCTTCTAGGCATTCCTGCTAATCCTAAGAAATGTTGAGGGAAAAAAGTTAATTCATATTTAATAGAATACAAAAAACAAAAAAAACACATGTAATTAAAATATAAGAATAAATAGAGTTTAAATAAATTTTACTAGATTTATTAGAAATTATACCTATAGTTTTATTAAAATAAAATGGTCCTAGACTTTCTAAAATTTGATTGTCTATAAATTTATAAGTAATTTTATACCCTAAAGGACTTATTTTTTTAGAAAGAATATAATTAATTAGTATGTCAAAATATCAATTATTAATTAAGAATAAATAAATATTTTTATAATAAGTTGTAAAGATAACATTTCAAGTTTTATTTAGGTTATTAAATATTATTATAGCTGTAATAATTCCTAGTATACTAAGAAAAAGGGGTAATAATTTATTAATATTGTAAATCATATTAGGAAGATTATCTTTTATAATTATAAATTGGAATATATATCCAGAAAAAATAGAAAACAATGTTAATAAACTTAATGAAATAATAATTTTATAATCGCTTTCATGAATATTGTTAAAATTATTTATACTTTGTTGTGGGTTATTAATAAAAGTGAGATAAATTAATCTTAAAGAATAAAAGGCTGTAATAAATACAGCACTAATACTAATTCAAACAGAAAAAGATAAGAAATTTGAAAATAATGCTACTTCGACAATTAAATCTTTAGAATAAAATCCTGATAAAAATGGTAATCCTAATAATGCTATAGATCCTATGATTATAAAAATGAATATTAAAGGTAAAAAGTTTTTTAAAGCACCATACTTTCTCATATCTTGTTCATCATTTATAACATGAATTATAGATCCTGCGCTGAGAAATAATAATGCCTTAAAAAACCCATGGTTTATTAGATGAAATAAACTTAAGTCATAAAAAGAAAATCCACAGATCATAATCATATAACCTAATTGACTACAAGTAGAATATGCTATTACTTTTTTTAAATCGTTTTGAACCATTCCTATAGTTGCTGAAAAAAAAGAAGTCAAACTTCCTATAATAATTATTAAAATTAATACAGTAGATGAAAGTTCAAATATAGGTGACATTCTAATAATTAAAAATACCCCAGCTGTAACCATTGTAGCTGCATGGATTAATGCTGAAACTGGAGTAGGCCCTTCCATTGCATCAGGTAATCACATGTGAAATCCTAATTGAGCAGATTTTCCTATTACACCTATTAATACAAAAAATAATGGTATATAAAGTGTATAAAAATTATTAGTAATGGAGATTATAAATATATCGTTAAATTCAAAAGACCCAGTAAATATTCATAAATATATTATTCCGATTAATAACCCTATATCTCCTAATTTGTTTATAATCATTGCTTTTATTGCTGATTTATTAGCCTGAATTCTGGTATATCAAAAATTAATTAATAAGTATGAACATAATCCAACCCCTTCTCATCCTATAAAAAGTTGAATCAAATTAGAACTTGATATTAATATTATCATAAAAAAGGTAAATAGGGATAAATAAGATATAAATCTTGGTAAATGAGGGTCGTTTTCCATATAAGAATAAGAAAATAGATGAACAAAAAATGAAACAGTAATTACTAAAACTAGCATATTTGTAGTAATTAAATCAAATTTTAAATTAAATGAGTTACTTAATAAGCCTAAATTAAATCAGTCTAATAATATATAATATAAAAAAGTAGTATTAAAATTAATTTCATAAAAAATAATTCAAGAATTAATAAGTGTAATTATAATAAGAAAAAAAGAAATCAATTTAACTCCTTTATTACCAAAAAATCTACCAAAAAATCCGCATAATAAACTATTAAATAAAGGTAAAAAAATTATAGTTAAAATCATATTATAAATTTAATAGATAAGTTATTAAAGAAATAAAAAACTTAGGATTTAATAAATAAAATAGTGTGTAATATAATATAAAACCTAAATAAATAAAATTTAAGTATAAATTATTTTTGTCTAAAGAAATAATATTATTTCAAGAAACATAAAAATTATTATTTTGAAATAAAAGTATTTTTATTATTCTTAAATAAAATCCTATACCTATACAAGTAATTAGTAGACATAAACATCCTGTTATAATATAGTTATAATTTATTAAAGTTGAAATAAGAATAAATTTACTTAAAAACCCTAAAAGTGGAGGAATTCCTGCTATAGAAAAGGTTATAATAACTAGAGCGATTGTTAAAATTTTATTATTCATAAAATAGCCGCTTAGTTCTATAATAAATTCTATATTATCTTTATATAATATTAATATCATAATTATAAATAAATTTGTAAATAAATAAATGAAAAGATATAATAAACAAATTTCAATACCTATTATATTATTTAAGCTTAAGGATATGATAATAAACCCAAAATTAGAAATACCACTATAAGCTATTAATCTTTTTATTTTAGTTTGATTAAACCCGGCAATAGTTCCTATAACAATTGATAATCCACCTAAAAACATAAGCATTTCAAAATTATTGTTAAATTTTAATAATATAATAAATATAGATAGTTTACATAAGGAAGATAATAATAATATTAGTACAAAATCAGATCCTTCGTAAATATCAGCAATTCAATAATGAAATGGGGCTAGACCTAGTTTAAATAAAAGAGATAATATTAATATAGAATTACTAAAAGAATAAAAAAAAGATGAGTTATTTAAAACAAAATTAAATAAATTTAAATCTAATGAGATTGAAGTCTTAAATAAATAGACAAGACCTAAAAGAAAAAATCCAGATGAAATACTACTTAAAATAAAATACTTTAGACTTGCTTCTAAGCTTTTTATATTATTTCTATAAGAACCTATTAGAACTAATAATGAAAAAGTTTGTATTTCTACAGATAAATATAATATAATTAGATTGTTAGACAATATTATTATTATTATTGACAATAAAATAAAGCTATATAAAATTAAGTTTTCTAATTTTAAATGTAAGTTATTTAGAATAATGATAAATATTATCATACTAATTCATAAAAAAGAATCTGCTTTAAGAAATTGTGTAATTATAATAAATAGTAATATTGATGGAATCAAATAAAAAAAACTATGTTTATTTAGATATAAATTTAATATAATAAAAACTACAAATGTAAATATTAATAAATTATTGTAATTAAAAATCATGAAAATTATTACAGTTAAAGAATCGAACTTTAATTATACCAATCTGAACAAGTTAAGAACCTCATCAATAAATACATATATATAAAAATAATCAAACAACATCAACAAAGTGTCAATATCATGATGCAGCTTCAAAAGTAAAATGACGAGAATTAGTAAAATGAGAAAAATAAATTTTAAGTAAACATACTGATAAAAATATAGTACCAATAATAACATGAATTCCATGAAATCCTGTAGCTACAAAAAAGATAGAACCATAAACAGAATCAGATATGCAAAAATTAGATTCTAAGTATTCTAAAGCTTGTAAAAATGTAAATAATAATCCTAAAGTAATAGTAATTATTAAACTAATTAAACTTTGATTTCTATTTTTTTGTATTAAACTATGATGACATCAAGTAACACTTACTCCTGATGATAAAAGAATAATAGTATTTAATAGTGGTATAGAAAATGGGTTTAAAGTTATTATTCCTAAAGGAGGTCAATTTATTCCTATTTCTACAGAGGGAGAAAGACTAGAATGAAAAAATGCTCAAAAAAAAGAAAAGAAGAATAATATTTCTGAAATTATAAATAGTATAAAACCTAATTTTAGACCTGTTAAAACTAATTTAGTATGAGCCCCTTCTAAACTAGATTCTACAAATATATCTGTAAATCATAAAATCATAAATAAAATTATTAAAATAAAACTTAATAATAAAGGATAATAAAATCCTTTATGAAAATAAGCAACAGTATTTAATGTTAAATACAATACACCCATTGATATACAAAATGGTCAAGGATTAGGATTTACTAAATGAAAAGGATGATAATATTTTTCCATTAATGTAGAATTAAACTATCTTTTAAATAAATTAAACATAAAAGAGTAAAAACATAAGCTTGAATTACTAAGACACCTATTTCTAATATAATCATAAATATAATAATCATTAAAGGAAATAAATTAAAAAAAGAAGAAGAAAAACATATCATCTTAAATATAAAATCAGAGAGAATAGTTAATAAAATATGTCCAGCTGTTAAATTAGCTGCTAAACGCATTCCTAAAGCTATAGGTCTAGAAATATGACTAGCTAGTTCTATAAATACTAATAAAGGAGAAAGACCTAAAGGAGCCCCTGTTGGCATAAACATACTTAAATAAGAACTTTTAAAATTAAAAAATCCAAATACTATTATTGATAATCATATGAAAAATGATAATCCGAAAGTTAGTGAAATATGAGTAGTGGGTGGTAAAGTAAAAATAAAAAATCCTAATAAATTAATTGATAAAAGATAAAAAAATAAAGTTGATAGAAATAATACATATATTTGAGAATTGTTTCCTAAATTTTCTTTTACAATTTGAAAAAAATGATTAATAATCATTTCAAAAAATAATTGAATTCTTGAAGGGATTATAAAAGTAAAATTTAAAGCTACAAAAATTATAAATATAGATAATATCAATACCAAATGAGAATCAAATAAGAACCCAAAAATTTTAATAATTAAAAAATGATCGAAATAGGAAGACATTATAATTTCAATATATTATATAATATAGAAAATTGTTTAAAATTATTATTAATTGATTCTGAACTATTTGAAATAAAATTATTTCTTATGTTTAAAACTAAGAAAAAATTATAAAATCTTAAACTTATTAAAATTATTAATAAAAAAAATAATAATAGTAAAACAAAATAGTGATTTAAATATAAAGATAAATCTAATTGAGACATTTTAAGTTTTGTTAATAGATCAGTTTATAAATTTTTCTTGAGAAACGGAATAAATTGAAATAGGCATAAAAGAATGATTAAGACCACATAATTCTGAACATTGACCAAAAAATTTACCAGGTCTATTAATAATAAAATTTAATTGATTTAAACGACCTGGAATAGCATCTACTTTTACGCCTAAAGAAGGTACTGTTCAACAATGAATAACATCAGCACTTGAAACAATTAATTTAATTTTTGTATTAACTGGTAAAACAAGATCATTATCAGTTTCAAGTAATCTAAAATCACCTTGGTTCAAATCTGTAGTAGGAATCATATAAGAATCAAATTCTATATTTGGTGAAAAATTAGAATATTCATAAGATCAATATCATTGATGACCAACTATTTTTACAGTTAAAGAAGGTTCAACATTTTCATCAATAGAATATAATAAAAATAGAGAAGGAATAGCTATAATTATTAATATAATAGCAGGTATTAATGTTCATACAATTTCAATAAAATTGTTTTCTAGTAAAAATTTGTTATAATTTTTATTAATAATTATTGAAAATAATAGTCATCCTACTAATACAAGAATAATTATCATATAAAACATTGTATTATCATGAAAAAATATTAAATTATTACTACAAGATGAAGCACTTTCTTGGAAAGAAAGTTGATTTATTTCAGGAATATCTTTATAGATAAAATTATTAAATAATAAACAAGTGAAAAAACTTATTAGAAATATTAAATTTTTCATAAACAGAGGGTATTGGATTCGAACCAATACTAATAATTTTGAAGACTATTTGATCTACTTAATCAACCCTCTTTATTAAATAATTACTTTAAATTTTTAGATTCTTTCAAAATTTTTTTATTAGTTTTTTTAATTAACTAAGTGAAACTTTATTCCTTTCGTACTAAAAGTCTAAAGTAATTTTATAATTGTAGATAGAAACCTTCCTGTCTTGCGACGGAATGAACTCAAATCATGTAAGATTTTAAAGGTCGAACAGACCTACCTTCAATAACTACTGCATTATTAGGATATCTTAATTCAACATAGAGGTGACAAACTTTGTTTTTGATAAGGACTCTAAAACAAAATTATCCTGTTATCCCTAAGGTAGCTTTTATCAATTAATCGTTATTTATTATTTATTATAATAACGGGTCATTATAGCCTACTATAGTAATTGTTAAATTGTTTAATTATACAATAAATAAATTTATTATATTGCTTATTTTTGTTATTTTTAAAAAACAGTCGCCCCAACTAAACTACCAAACTTTCTAGTTTTAATAATTTTTTATTATTTTTAAGAAAAAAGTTTATAGTAAAGCTCTATAGGGTCTCTTCGTCTTACAATTTTAAATAGCATCTTAACTATTATTTCAATTTTAAAAAATTTTTTTTAAGACAGTGAAAAATTCGTGTAACCATTCATTCTCTCCATCAATTAAATGACAACTAATTATGCTACTTTATTACAGTCAGAGTTACTGCATCCATTTAATATTATTTAAATTAGGTTATAATTATTTTTATATCATTGGGCAGGTTTCACCTTCAATATTTTAGAGGGCTATGTTTTTGGTAAACAGTCGATATTTTATTTTGCCGAGTTCCTTAAAAAAAAATTAATTTATTATTTATCCTAACTTGATTTAGATTTTTACAAAATAATAATTAAAATTTTCTTGAAAAGATTTTTAATATATTCCTTATAAATTGAGAAATTGTATTACCTTAATCAATTTATTAAATTAAGAAAAAAATAGGATAAATTTAATTTTACTCATGCTTATATTATTACTCTTTTAAAATTTTCATAATATATTAAAAGAAATTTCATTACTATTTTCCACAAAAATGATAATAATTAACTATATTGTAAAGTTATAATTTTTTTAAAGTAAAGTTTTACGTAATTTTTAAAATATAGCTGATTCTAAGCTTATTTACTTTTTGTTTAAATCATAAACTTATTTCTAAATGTTTATAGAGTTCATTGATGTTGGATATAAATTGTTTTTTACTCGTTAAATAATCTTTGCATTAAATAACTGCTTTTTTTTAAAAAAAATTACTTATATAAATTTCATGAAAAACCAGCTATCTCTTAACTCGATTAGTTTTTCACTGCCAATTGCAAATTATCCAAAAATTTTTATCATTTATTGGTTCATTCTGAAAATTATTCACAATTAGATCGTTAAGTTTCGGGAATAATTAACTTTATAAGTTATTTAGCCTTATAGCTTGCTAATTATTATTTTATAAGCCCATTATACAAAAGGTAAATGATTTTCATTTTTTATTATAAATTATTTATTAATTTCCTTCACAGTACTAATTCTATAGATATAATCAATTATTTAATTTTGTAAATCCAAAGAAAAAATTATGATTTCAATCGCCTTTACTTTCATAATATTATTTTATAATTACTAAGATGTTTCAGTTCATTTTAAATTTAATCATTTATGAAAAGATTATAATAATATTAATTAATATTATTCTTATTGATTATTCTATTTTTATAATTTAAAAATTTAATTCAAAAATAAAGAGAAAGGAATCGAACCCTTATATTCTGGTCATGAGCCAAATAACTTTCCATTAGTTTACTCTTCTTCTTTTAGAAGATCAAATAATTAAAATTCTTAAAAATTTTCCTAGTCATCATACTTTTAATGAATTACCTTTTATAAACCATTCAACCCATTAAAAACAAGGGAATCAAAAAAACTTTTCGGTTTTCTTCTCTCCTAAAAGAGGATCACCCATCCCCCCCCCCCCCCAGTCCAGGCGCAGCACTGGCGCACCCCCTGCTGCGGCTATCGCAGGGGGCCCCGCGCCGCACCAACCC